CATCCTCCTCTGCCTCACTGACTATAAACCCTACCCCCATCTCCCAGAAAAAGGTATTCCAGCATGGAGTACCTCTCTTCTCTCTTTTGACACTTTTATACTTGGTACAAATTGAGCATGTGGCAGCAGGCATTGAAAAGCAGATGTCCCACCTCTTAAACAAGAATTGTAGCTACCAGGTTTGTGAATCCCCTGCTTTCTGCCATATATATGGGGTCTCAGCAGTGCCAGCAGAAAAATCTTGATTCAGGCAAGTTAAAAGGCCTAGCATACTGCATCTCCCATTAGGAGAAGGGTCTTAAACTCTTCCTCCCCTATGCTGGATAAGCACTCTAGAAGTTACTGGATAAAGGGAACATTAACACTTTCTTTAGTTTTGTGAATCTACTTGTCAATCCCTCTCCCCACATAATTGAGTAAATTTGACCTAAACCTGCAACAGCTTTGGGACAAGAAACATGTTTTTAAAGAGATTTTTCTGCATACTTCCCCCATGCCAAAAGAAAAAAACACCCCAGCCCAGCTCTCCTTTTAGGATGCGTCAGAGGTCAGAAGAACTGGGATTATTTATTATGAAATACCCCGTCTTCTCTAGACTAGCCATAAATATTAGAACAGCGATGATTCTCACATCCACTTGGAAGAGCCGCCGTAATAGATCTAAACTACAACAAAATGAGATTTTAATTAGGAAAGGTCGTCTTAATAGCTAATTACAAGCACTGGAACAAGTTACCTAGAAGAGGTTGGTCACTACAGGTTAGGAAACGTTTCTTGGATGGTTTAACCTTTAGACCAGGGATGCTCAACCTGTGACCTTCCACACAGGTGAGTAAAATTTGGAGGCAGGGGAAGAATGGCAGGGGAGCGGTGGCATTTAAAACTTCCACCCTTTGCCACTGCCAAATTTCCAAGCCCCTCATGGCCAGTCAGAGCAGGGCCATGCCCCTTCCTCCTGCCTGGCTGGAGTGAGGTCTGGTGCACACCTGCTTTCTTCTATACCTGTGTTGGAGCCAAGCCATACCACCTTCTCTCCACATGCCATGTTGGGACTGGGCCATGACTCCTCCCCCTGAGCAGCCATGCCCTTTCACCCCTCCTGTAGGACTTAGTTGGGGACAGGCCAAGCTCTCTTCTGCCCACGCAGCTGGATTAAGGCAGGACTGTCCTCTGCCACACCTGCCTTGGCACTGGATCAGGACCACCAGTTGGATCTGGCCTGTGGACAGAAAGGCCTGCTGGGCAAAGAAGTTGAGCACCACTGGTTTAGACCAATAAGATTCTGCCTTGAGCAAGTGGTTTGACTACGTTTTTTAGGTCCTTTTCAGCCGTTTTTTTGTACTTCTAAAAACTGAGATTTAACTCCCGTCCATTGCCAAAAAACCCCCCCAAGCCACCAAAAGTAACTCATGTGCTCCAATTCTTAAAGTTTTAAAAAAATATATCCACGTTTTATTAGCAACATGTGTCAACAAGATTTCATTCCCCTTCACATGGATATAGAATAATATATTTATGGTGAAAAACAGGACTTGGCCAAAACTGCAGAGAAACAGAAGGATCCTCCACAATACTGATTGCTGGATTAAGCATAATTAATTAAGCTAATGTCCAGGAAGAAGAGAAAGATTAAGCAATTTAAAAGTGTATTGCAACGTGCAAAGTGGCCAAGTTAAAGCTTTATAGTCGGTTTTGAGTTTGGCATTTTTTGAATGCTCCATCTTGCAAATTTGAAGTTGTACTATCAGCTTAAATTACATTTAAAAATTGGATTGAAGCTATATCTCATCCTTGTAAAGGAGTGACTGGGTTTTTCTGTGGCCCACAAGGAAACTTTTCAGGAAAGTATTAAAAATTAATCCATTCCGACTCACTTTTCTGCTTCTATTCAAGGTAAGAATAGAAGACCTACCAGAGTAGCTTCAGATAATAGAAAGTTAGGGTTGGAAGGCACCTCAGGAGGTCACATCTAGTCCAACCCCCTGCTCAAAGCAGGACCAGCCTCAACTAGATCATTCTAGCCATGGCTTTGTCAAGACGGGCCTTAAAAACCTCCAAGACTGAAAATTCCAACACCTCACTGAGTAGCCTGTTCCAGCCCTTCACCACCCTCCTAGTGAGAGCATTTCCCCACCTCACCCCCCAATATCCAACCTAAACTTCCTTTGCTGCAACTTGAGACAGTCATTCCTTGTTCTGTCATCTGCTACCACTGAGAACAGTCCAGCTCCATCCTCTTTGGAACCCAGGGCAGGTAGTTGAAGATTGCTACCAAATCCCACCTCAGTCTCTTTTCTAAACCAAATAACTGCAGCGACTCCTGGTGGATTTCCTGTGGGACGGACGCCACTGGCTCCCACGAGCTGCCCTCTCCCTGCCCCCCGGCAAGGGGGGCCAGGGCCTGATCGATCTGGCCAGCAGGGTGGCCGCCTATCGGCTGCAGGCCCTCCAGCGGCTCCTGTACGCCGAAGGCCACCTCCCGTGGCAACAGCTGGCGTGCCGATTCCTGAGGCGAGCGGGGGGCCTCGGCTTTGACCGGGAGCCATTTCAACTGGACCTCACCTTCCTGAACGAGGCGGTCCTTCCCCCGTTCTACCGCAGCATGGTGCGGGCCTGGTGGGCGGCCTTCCATCTCTGTCCCCAGGCCAGGC